CTATCTGTCTACCTATGTGTCTATCTATCTGCCTGTTTGTCCGTCTGTCTGTCCAACGATTTATTTGTCTACCGATCTATCTATCTAACGAGCAGCCTCACAAACACATCCTGGCCGTAATCCTCAAGATCAACCTAGTCCCAAAATCGTTATTGTCACACCCGGGCTTTGGGTTGAGATGCTCGAAAGAATCATCAAAGCCTCTGGGGGTTTTTGGGGCTTTAGGTGTTAATGCTGGCTGCCAGTTAGTGAGCATCTTGTGCCCGATGCATGGGACGGGCCGGGATCCATCAGAGTCTAGCCTGACAGCAGTAATACAGGGGCCTTAATAATTAGAATAGGGTTTTGGGGGTCCTTTATAGTTTAGTTTTCATAAGGACCCCCCCCCCATAATAGTATAGGTTATTAGTACTATGCAGTCGAGCTTCTCATGCTTGGAAGGGATTTATTTGGGCTTTTGTTCTGTCGGCATAATATGCAGCTTGTCTTTTTGTTCGCTCGCTTTTTAGGTGTTTGCACAAGGCTTAGTGTTTGGGCCTAATCGTTGGTTTGGGGTTCCGTGTTCAGGGTTTCAGGATGTCGATGGTGTTTTTCGAGCCAGTTTGGCAGTTCATAGAAGATGTGACATGGCGTCTTGTGGACATTCTGATCACCTGGTGTCCTGAGGCAGATCGAACCGTATGCCCTCAGGGTAAACTTTGCGCAAAACTGCGGTTCATGCTTACCTTTGAACACCATTCGTACCTGCACAGCCCAGATCATGGATGCGCTTATGTATGGATGTGAATGCTACTTGCGGTCTTACCTGGTGGCCCAGGGGACTTAGTAAGTAGGTTGTAAGTAGAGTTGTGAGTACCCTAACTGGAGTCACCCCAATTATAACCCTACTTACAATCGACTTACTAAGTCCCCTGGACCTCCAGTATGGTTGCTGAAAATTTTCGGACAATCCCTGCCTCTTCAACATTCTCTTCACATGGACACGAGTCGCCCTGAACCGGCAATTGGAGCTAGGTAGGCTTTGGGCCCTGAACCGGCTATTGGAGCTAGGTAGGCTTTGGGACACTTCTATTTCCCCTTTATGCAGCCTAAAGACGAACCTTTTGTTATGAACTTGTTTAAACAAGCCTGAAAAGGGCCAACCTATGTAAACCCTATATATCCTAAACCCAAAACCCTTCATAGAAACCCTATAGTTGTAAGCCCTATCCAAAGATAAGAGAAGGATCTTGGCTCACACCCTTGGTGCAGATGCAGTTGGAGCACCAAAGGTGCTAACGGCGATTCATGAGGTCAGTACGGGTTTAGGATTTAGGGTTTAGGGTTTAGGGGCTTAGGGTTTAGGGTTTAGGGTTTAGGATTTAGGGTTTAGGGTTTAGGGTTTAGGGGTTTCGGGTTTAGGGGTCTATAGGTCTTGGCTTAATGATTGTTGAACCGTCTCGGTACCAGTGGTCACCAACAGCAACCCAGATCTCTTTGTCATGACCAGGAAGTCGTGAGACCCAGCAGCTAGGTTCTGTCAGGTTTTCGATGCTCGTGGTTTGCTAACCTAGCCTCGATACTCCTCGTAGACTTGTGCGGTCTATACAGATAAGCATGCAGCACTTGCAAGTGGCTTGAATTAGTTGCCGCGCGGCAACTGCTTGATTGCGCATGCTGCCAACGCTCAATTCAGATCTTTTATTAGCAAGTTAGGTGCATAAGGCTGGTATAGAACGCGCCTACTTGCGCCCTCGGCCACGCCTGCAAGTCAAGGAAAGAGATGCGAGCGGATCATATCAAAGTGCCAGTTTTGGACTCGTCCAAACCCTAAACATTACACCCCTAGACCCTAGACCCCTAAACCCTAGACCCTGAACCCCTAAACCCCTAAACCCTAGACCCTAAACCCCTAAACCCCGAAACCCCGAAACCCCTAAGCCCTAGACCCTATACCCCGAAACCCCTAAACCCCGAAACCCTAAACCTTAAACCCCTAAACCCCAAAGCCCTAGACCCTAAACCCCGAAACCCCCTAAACCCCGAAACCCCTAAGCCCTAGACCCTAAACCCCGAAACCCCTAAACCCCGAAACCCTAAACCCTAAACGCGTAAACCCCAAAGCCCTAGACCCTAAACCCCGAAACCCCTAAACCCCGAAACCCTAAACCCTAAACCCTAAACCCCTAAACCCCAAAGCCCTAGACCCTAAACCCCGAAACGCCTAATCCCTAAACCCTCCGTGTCGGGAAGGTTTCGGAGGCTTTCATCCTTGCAGGTACTCGCCCAAAGGGTCCAAAGTACCTATATGGTAGAATGTAGGGTTTCTATACTAGGAATTGTAATTATGACTTGGGAAAGTATCCCCCCATAACAGTACCTAGGACCCTTTTGGGTCGACAAGTACAGAAGAAATTCAGACCCGAGCTCTGTAATTCCGGTACCACTTTAGGGCCTTTAGGGTTTAGGGGGGTTTAGGGTTTAGGATTTTAGGGGTTTAGGGTTTAGGATTTTAGGGGTTTAGGGTTTAGGGTTTAGGGTTTAAGGGTTTAGAGGTCTGGGGTTTAGGGTTTAATGGTTCTTGGGCTGCGGTACGGGCAGTCACTGGCACCTGTGTCGGAGTTGTAGTTCTTGAAGTCGGAGATCTTCCGGCAGGCAGGGCTCAGCAGGTTCAAGAAACAGGTCAGCTGAAACCGAACCGAAGCCCCACTCTCAAAGAGTCCGAATGAGCACCTTGGCTGCCGGGCTAAACCCCCCGGGCCCCAGCCCAGTGGAAACTACGCCCAAAAATGCAGAAAGCTCCGTCAGCACTACCCTAAACCCTAAACCCTCAAGCCCACTCCACATGATCTTCAACTTTGAGCCCTGGACTCGACCCTCTCATGTGGCGCCGCTCCCCTCGTGACACCCAGAACGACGACGATGAGGCACCCGGGGTTTGCGATTGGTGACGGTTGGTAGTCCTAGGCCCTTATAGCTGAGCTGAAGCGAGAAGCCCAAGATTATGTGTTTGGGCTGCAGTACTTGCTTGGAGGTTCATGGGTAGTTATAAGTACCTGTGGCCCAAACCTACCTTCTTAAGGAACTAGATATAGAAACCATAATAAGGGACCCTAAAAAGACAAATTCTTTCGGCAACAGGTAGGGTTATAAGTAGGGTAACTATACTTAGAACTCCCTACTTAGGGAACTTATAACCCCACTTATAACTACCGATGAACCCCCAAGTAGCTAAAGCATGGCGGCACCCTTCCCCCCTATGGTACATGGAACTGGGGCCACTTAATATAGGGGCCTCAATAATTAGAATAGGGTTTTGACAGATTATACTGCATAAATATAATAAGGAGCCCCCCCAAAATAGTAGAGGTAATTTCTAAGGCCCCTACATGGGGGTTTCCGAAAATAGGGGGCCCTAATATAGTACCCTAAATAGTAGGATCCTTATTATTGTTGAATGTGCACTGCCTCCGACCGTTTTTCATCAAGGCATGTGTGAAGTAGGCCTGCAAGTGCCTAGGACTTCACACGTAGATTCAACCTGTACGAATGCCAACGGCATGTTCGCAGGGAATCACATAG